CTTTGACAGGCCACCCAGGTATGTCAACGGCCCCCAAGTATGTAGTGACACTTGTTTTTTTTTTTTTTTTTTTTTTTTTTTACAATCTATTAACACTCGTTTTTTTTACTTGCCCAAATATATACCAAACATCCGCAATCGATTAAGTAGTATAAAATCTTCTCTCATTTACCCGTTTCGTTGTGTGTGCGTGAGATCTGTCAACATTCCCACAGAAAGTCTCTGCTCTGTAGACCGACAGAGGTGCACTTTTTTGGGAAATAAAAAAATTTGTCCAGCCCGGGTTAGCTGCGTCCGAAACTGCCTTCTACTTAGTAGGTACTGCATTTGAATTTAAATGTACTACTCGGCCATTAGAAAAGTATGTTCTATACAGTATAAATGTGAATTTTTGGAGGCAGCCTAAATCTTTAAAAATGTCTGGTATTCAAATTTTGTTTTCACTTTCTAAAGCTTGTATGCATTTTTCCTTACCTTTTTACTTACACCTACTTTAGCTTGGCTTTGCAAAATGACTGCATATGCGAGAGAAACATTACATTTTTTTTCATCTGAACGACTCAGAAAACCTTATATATATATGGACATATATGGACACCATTAGTAATGGTTAATCAACACATTTGCTTTAATATACACGTTTTAATCTTGTAATTATGATTTTTTTTTAGAGATATTGTCTGTTTTTATTACTTTTTATATCGTCATATATTTCTCATTTGCTGATTATTTTATTAATTTGATGATGTTAATATATTATATAGGCCATTTTATATACATGCCCAAAATGCTTTGGCATTCAAGTTTGCTTTAAACTTGAAAAAGAGAGAAGGAGATTTTACTGGCACATGGTTTCTGAATAGCATAGGAGTAAATATGGATGTTTTTTTTTTTTTTTCTTTCTTTACTTTAACACATTGACAAGGAACTGTGTATATCAGCGTCATAATTAATAAAATTATTGTTAAAAATTTAATCATGTTTTGTTTGTCGCATCTAGTTAAATATTTGTGATTTGGGCAAATGGTATGTTTCAATCTAGCTACCGCTGCAAGTATATTTCAAACATGTGGGAAGCACTGAAATATATGCATAATTGAGTCAGGTTTTCAAAGTGACCTATTTAGTTATTGTTAGTAAAGGGACCACATAGTAAATGATGATTTTTGTTGTTAAGCATACACATTCACCATACATTTTAACATGGGATGATGTCATTTCCCCAAATTGCGAGCAGACAATCAAACATTAGTGTTTCTTTTTTTCTTTTAATGTCAACTTAGAAATATGTGCAGTACAACATACTTATTTATTATATGTATAATTAAATTTGCAATGTTCTACATTCTGCTTTGGATGAAACCAATACTTATGATGCTAACATCGCAACATGCTACTATAAAACTCAAAACTCGCTAGGTTTAGGAATAGAACTAGGGCTGCAAGAGTTTGGTAAAATCTAACGTTGCAAGAGTTTGTTAGTCTGCTACATGAATTCAATTTCACCTAATGACATCTCTATTTGGAAAGATCTTATCATTTTAGATTGATTAGAATGTTTCTGCTGGTGTTTATTTCTGCATCTAATATCAGATTAAAAGCATAGATAAATACAATAAAGAAATTGCAAAGAACAGTGTTTTGTTTTCTGTATAACAATATTCAGGTGCAGTAACTGAAAAATAATATTAAAAATATAATTCCTAATAATGCAATTCCTTATGCTGATTGCTATTAAAATCCTCAGGCCTCAATCACATCCAAATAATAAATTATAATGCAGACTCAACTTTGCATATCCTGCGATGTGACTACTGTGAATGTTCACATTGCGATATCGATGCTAAAACTACATATTGTGCAGGCCTAAATAGAGTCTCTTGAAGTGCCTGTATTTTCAAGGATGTGGATGTGGGATTCTATAGTCTCTCAGTGGACCAGGTTGTTGTAAGTCAGCTTAAGATTTCAACAGCAGAGTTTGGCTTCTGTCCCGGAACATCCTTGGTTTTCTCCTACTAAACTTTCCCTAGAGTATCTTCGCCAATCAAATAAAATGGGACAGGGTTTAATGGCCGGAAGTTAAATAATTTTTTTTTTTATTATTATCCCACACCTTTTATGCTACTGACAGAATGTTTCCTTAAATCATGAGAATAGCTGGTGAAGTGTGCCATTAACTCTCTGAGTGATGTATCTTATAACTTCCCTCTCCAGTGGACAGTAAAACAAGTAAGGAAAAGTCCAGTTCTTTTGACTTCTTTATAGTTACTTGCTGGCCCGAGCACTGCCCTAACAACTATTTCAATTACATCAGCAACCCTATGTTACATAATGTCAAAAAAAAAAGATTTACAACAACTTGGAAGCTGCGTAGCTACCCTTTGGCAGATTATGCAGCACCCTGGCATTATAGAGCCAAGTTTTACACAGGGAAGTGTTTCTTAAGCTCAAACAGTAGAGAAGCATTAGGCTAACATACTATCTGGATGTCAATATTAGATGCAGCTATTAAGAATCAGACCAAATCATTTGAAAGTGTCATTGCATATACCAAACTATAAACTTTTACACCTTTTACCACAGTCCTGCTGAAATTACTTTTATCAGTGTGTTTGGCTATTGTTTCAGATGCTAATCAGGGGTGTGTTTCCGACAACCATTGTTAGCTAACTAAGGTCGCAAGTTCCGTCGTTACAAACATAGTTTGTTCATTTTGACATTTCTCAAATCCATCGTTCCAATGAACATTTGCAAACTTATACGCTTGCAACTACACCTCTAGAGCTGTAGTTAAAAGCAATAGGTGCATTCGACTTCATGCAGCGCTTGATGCAGTCTTAAAGCGGTGCATGCTGGTCAGAAATGTTGTCCGGATGGATACTGTGCCGACGCCACGTGACTGTCACAAGTGGCATCAAAGTACTGCGACAGTGCTCCGAGATCAGACACTTGATTTAGCCGATGCAGCATCTGAAGAGCGATTGCATGAGCTCTGATGACGACACCAATATTACATGAGGATTCACCGCATGAACACAACCATGTGTGATTCGGGTTTAATATTAGACAACTTCTGTCTCGCAAATTCTGTCAAACAAAACAATCTATTAACTTTTCATGTCACCTCTATATTTTACACATCATGCTTATTAAAAGACTACAAATATTTTACTGCAGAAATAACTTTTTTGTTAAATAATCTGGTTATAAAGGCTAGCTTGTTTGCACAGGTTTATTTTCAACCTTTTTAATTCAGACTATTTATTTTCAGCTTTATGAACGTTTTACATGATCTATTTTAGTAAATTACCTAAATATTAACTTAAGTCTTACAGACTTAAAATAATTATCATTATTAATCCTTCCATCGTAAAGGTTTCTTAACAAATTAAGTTAAATACCATTTTATTAAATAATTATAAAATAATTTTATTATATATATATATATATATATATATATATATATATTATTTTATTTTATTTATTTTTTATTTCCTGTCTAGCCGTTTATACCTGGTCTTTCTGGAAAACTTCTACTTAGTGTTGCTCACTTATTTTAGGAATGTCCTTTTGTTCAACCTTTTTGGATTAAAGTGCTTTTTTGAAAATGCTTTCGTTATCCAAAATAATCTTAATCATTGTTTAAGACAATCAAAACACCTTGTTTACATTAATATGTATTGGAAAGTTTTACATCTATGAATGTAAATAAATGTAAACCCCTTTTTAGCATATTCAAACAAGCAGTATTAGCGTAAAGAGTGATGTTTAAACTCCCAATTTTTATTATTATTTTTTTTACCCTTGTTTCACCTTAATTCTCTCATGCGTTTGTTATATAGTTAATTCATAATTTCCATATTGTTTAAAATTAACTATAGTTTGTAGAGACCGTATTCTATTTCATTTGTACTGTTAATCTTTTGTTGTTATAAATGAATAAAAATTATGATTGCGCCATGTGATCGGTCATCATGTCTGAAAAAAATAACTAAAGTCATTTGTCTTAGGTGTAATTTGTTTGTGAAGAATTTTTACAGTTCAGTTTTAGCTTTCTTTGAAAATATTTATGCTATTTTGATTGCAGCCATGGCTAGGCATGGAATGATAACTGGTTTCAAGGTTTAACATGGTTTGGAAAAGTCAAGGTTTTAAAAAGTTTTTTGTTATACCGTTCCTATGGTATATTTGTACTTTTTAAAAATATTTTTAATTATTTATTCATTTTTTAAACATGTTTTTGACAACTATTATTATTATATTATTTAGTTTTTCAAGGCAACAGTATCGCCAGCAGAAAAGAAACCGCTACATTACAAGCTACTGGTCCAAAATATTTGAAATGTTCTGACAGTTAACATGTTAAAAATTTTAAAATAAATAAATAAATAAATAAAAAAAAAAAAAACTAAACAATATACTAAATAATGATGAAAATTGTTATTTTTATAATCATTTAGTAAGATTTAAAAAAAAAAATCTTAAAAAGCCTACTGTAAATTAGACCTAATTTACAGTAGACCAATAATATTTATAAAGGAAACATATACAGTAAGCCCTATATGGTTTACATGTAATTCAGTTAATATGGAAAATGAGTCCCTGTTTTTACCAAAACTAATATTGGATTATTTTTTTAATGCATGTGCTTGTAAAACGATACAATTTGCACAAAAAAAATATGGGGTTTTACTTCTAAAGAAGTAGTTACTTCTCCCCGTTTAGAGCATCATTATGGACGTTTTACATTATAACTAACTAAAGACAAAGGAACTATGGATTTGCAAAATACTCCTTACTACATGGTTCTTTTCACAAGCAATGCATGGTACAATGATGGTTCAGCCAAGAGTTATGTCGTGGTTTGGGAAACGCACCCCAGATTGTTGAAAACTGTTTTGCAAATGACAACAGATTGGGATTGTTACTAAAGTATGCTGTTGAATAGCCCCGTTTTATGAATTGGTTGTAACTCATGTGTTTATTTATATTCCACTCAGTTGGTGGAGACCTCCCTGAAAGGTGAGATCACGTTTGATCCCTGCTGCGCCTACTACATGTGGTTCGTAATGGACTTCTGTGATGGTGGAGACATGAACGCCTATCTTCTGTCCCGCAAACCCAGCCGCAAGACCAACACCAGCTTCATGCTGCAACTGGGCAGCGCTCTTGCCTTCCTGCATCGAAACCAGATCATCCACCGAGATCTTAAACCTGACAATATTCTCATCTCACAGGGCCGCACCCCAGCGGGGTCCCCTGAACCCACCCTGAAGGTGGCTGACTTTGGCCTGAGCAAGGTCTGCTCTGGTTCAGGCCTGAACCCTGAGGAACCAGCAAGCGTAAACAAGTGTTTCTTGTCCACAGCTTGCGGGACGGACTTCTACATGGCTCCTGAGGTCTGGGAGGGCCACTACACCGCTAAAGCTGACATTTTTGCTTTGGGGGTTATCATATGGGCCATGGTAGAACGGATAACGTTTGTGGATGTGGAGACTCAGAAGGAGCTTTTGGGGAGCTACGTACAGCAGGGTGAGGATATTGTCCCATTGGGGGAGGCTTTGCTGGAGAATCCCAAGATGGAGCTTAACATCCCAGCCCGGAAAAAGAGTATGAATGCTAGCATGAAGCAGCTGATTCGAGAGATGCTGTCAGCCAATCCACAGGAGCGTCCTGATGCTTTTGAGCTGGAGCTCAGGCTGGTTCGGATCGCATGCAGGGAACTTGATTGGGATACGTGAAGGGAACGTTTCTTGGACATTGGTAAATTTCTAATACGACTGGCTTTGAGCTTGAAGTGAAGACAAGAACGTACTGTTTGGTCCTGTCCCAATTGGCACACTTGATGTGGACTTGTAGTCTTGCGAAGAAGCTTGGTAATGTTTGTGAAATCCACAAGAGATTTTGTAAATATTTTGAGGAATACCAGACTGGTTGATAGTGCCATTTGGGACAGGACCTTTGAGAGCAGGAATGTTTTTTTCTTTTTCTTTTTTTCTTTTTTTTTTTATTGGGCAATTGCACTGGTCCTTGGTCTTTTCTTGATATTCTTACAGTTTAGTACAAGTGATGATAAACAGCCTTTTCAATGGTAATGCTTATTATTGTCTCATTTGTTCACAAGCACATTGGGATTTTCATTGACAAGAGTCCGGAGAGGCTTTACGTGAGTTTCATTAATGGAAAAAAAAAACATAAGATATCCACCTTCCATTGACCATAAGCCACAGTGATGTAGATAAAGAGTGGTCCACAGAATTCCTAAAGCATTCCAGCAGAGAGCATGTAGTTTAGGGCTGGGCGGTAACAACAACAAAAAAAGTTTGTAAAATTAGTTTACTGCTTGAAGCATTAAAGGGATCGTTCACCCAAATATTATCACTATTTACTCCCCTCAAGTGGTTATACTTTCTTCTGTTGAACACAAACTAAGTTACTTTTTGTAGAATGCTGAAAAAAGGGATACCATTGATATATATATATATATATATATATATATATATATATATATATATATATATATATATAATTTTTTTTTTTTTTTTAATAGTAGGATAAACATACTACAACAGTCAATGGTTAGAGGTTTTCATCATTCCTCAAAATATCTTGTGTTTACTAGATGAAGGAAACTCAAAACCGGTTTGGACCAAGTGAAGGGTAGAGTAAATGATAACAATAGTTTTTTTTTGCTCTTTAATTTGAAGATTGCAAAATTTGCCAACTGTTATGGTCTTTAGGAATTTTAATGACTGGAGAAAACATTAAAATCATTGTGACGTTTGTCATGTTAGTTCATGTTGTCGCTAACAATATAAGTGTCAACAACAATCTATATGTCATATAAATTCGGTATAAAGCCCAGCCCTTACGTTGACTTAAAACAGCACAGCTTCCTTTTTTCTTCTTCTTCTTCTTGAGAACCATTTTGTTGTTCTTGATAAATTAACCTCACTCCTGGTGCTAATTCAACTTGCAATGCAAAATGGGAAAACATGCAGCAAACAACAGCTTTTTTTTTACAGGTTCCTTTTTTTCCGTGCTCAGTTTAACAGCTTTTTTACAACAAAAACACTATCTGTTTTTTCTGAACTTCTCACACAAGGGCTTCAGGGAGTTGTATTTGTATCACTCAATTTGAAAACAGTGTTTTTTCAGTCTTTTCTACACACAATAAAAGGAAACTTCAAGGCAATAGTTTTTAGTCTGCCAAAAGGCATGCGGTAAATTATGTAATATTTGTCATTTTGAATACCCATTTCAAGCCAATTCAGACATGGTATCTGACACCTACTGACTAAATAAACCACTAAAAAGGCAGCTCTGTGTGTCTGTGAAGGATGTGTGTCCATTTTGGAGCACCAGATGTTAAATGATTCGACATAACATATTGCATTTTTTCTCTTTGACATTTTTCACATAGAGGATCAATGATAAAGTAAATGGTTAAGGGAAAAACATTAAATGAATCATTTATCTTCTGTTCGTCTGGTCTGACGTTTGCGTTTTTCTTCCAAACTTTGAGTTCTAAACCAGAAATATTTGAATTATTTTTCTGACAGCAAAATACTACAAATAATGCAAAGGGCATTATTTCTTAAGCTGAATTTTATGAGGATTCATTCATTCACTTTAAGTTAATTTGGATTCATAAAATCTGTCTGTAATAGGCTGTTATCTTGGTGGAAGGGAGTGTACATTTACCTTTGCAGTTTTGAAATGTTTTCCAGACTGCACAACACAGTCTTACACCAATTCTAAACTTTTTGTAACTTTTTGTTTAACTTTTTTTTTTTTTTTTTGTGGCTAATTTGTACAATCTCATTTGTACATTTTAATACAATTTGCTCTTCCATCAATGAGGGATAAGGCTGATTTATACTTCTGCGTCAAGAGATCACCATGACCCATGGTGCTTGCCTTGCACGTAGTCGTGCATTTATACTTCTGCGTGCTGTTTGTGTTGCTCTGCAATAACACTTCCAAAACGCTAGCTGGCAGTAGGTTTTTATGTTCCTCTTTCTCAAGTTTCTTTGCAGGCGTTTTTTTTTTTTTTTTCTGAGTAGTTAAATCTCGCTCGCTTAGAGGCGGGAACAGGCTGACATGCAACAACTTTAATCAGAGTAAACCCAAAACAAGCGTTTCCATTCTGGAGCGCCTTTACTGCATTCAACACTTATAAACACTCACTCTATCGGGCTCATGGCTCTCAGTACCACCGACACTTGTCACAGCTACCAAGCCAACTAATTACAGAGCTTGCGCTGTGCATCGCTGGGGCATGTAGTTACATTTTTTTTTTTTTTAGAGGTGTGGATAGGCGTCTGCTACAGTGAGGGCTATGCGACCGCACTGAGGCTGCACCAGACCATACGCAAGCGCCTAACACTGAAGTTTAAATCAGCCTTTAGGGGTGGAGTTCTGGGCATGACTTGATTTAAAAATTCCATGTTTTTAAACAAAAGAAATTGTATATCTTTGTACGAATTAGCCACTCTTCTGACAATATGTACAACAGTTACGTACCTTATGAGATGGGGCTGAACTAAAATTATGTCAAAATCAACCACAAACGTGACAAAAATTTGTCAATATCCTGATTAAAATAAACCCAATCCTGCCATTGTAGTCATGTTGTTTCATGAGATCAGTAAAACGGTGCTGTTTCCTCAAGCTAACTTTTTACCCAATTTTCAAAAGTTTGCCCATTTTAAAATGCCATTGAACAAACAACAAAACTGCATAAAGTTTTCCATTTTCCCCCCAAGTTTATACAGTACTGTAGCCCACACTGTAAAAAAAATCTGAGATATATATATATATATATTTTTTTTTTTTTTGGCAGCTAGACTGCAAAAAAAACTAAAATGACAGACGTTAAATTACAGAACTTTACCATAAAATAACAGACTTTAAATTATAAATATTTACCATAAAATAACAGACATTAAATTATCAAAATTTGCCATAAAATAACAGATGTTAAATTACAGAAATTTACCATAAAATTAAATTCTAAGGACATTTCTGTAATTTAACGTCTGTTATTTTATGTAAAATTTCTGTAATTTAACGTCTGTTATTTTATATAAAAATTTCTGTAATTTAACGTCTGTTATGTAAAATTTCTGTAATTTAACGGCTGTTATTATTATTTTTTTATTTACATTTTTTTTCCCAGCACCCAAAACGTAAAATAACAATATTTTTACAGTGTACATACAGCCCCTGAGTTGCAGGTTAATTAAAGGTGCTTGCACACTTCTGTGATCTTTACGCCCACCAATCCTCGTATGAAAACTTTAGATAACCAGCCTTGATTTGAAAAAAAAAAAAAAAAAACTCAAACCTCACATTTTAGCACAGAGAGCGTTACACACCTCAATAAACACCAGTGCTGTAATGCATGCAACACCTCTCTGCTTCAGGGAAATGTGTACAGGGAGTGTGAAAGGATGCGGACGTTGATTCTAACGCAAACACACACACACAACCATAAGCCTCTGTGAGTCGGGGATCTCACGTCTTTGACACACGATACCAGCGAGCTGAATTTGATCTCCACTTCACTGTGTCATTTTTCTCCTGGATTCCCAGAGTGCCGAATCTTACCGGTAATCCCTTCCGCCACGCTCATGACAGACTAACACTAAGCCTGTTACGTTTCTGAAGAATTAGGCGAAGAAAGCATTCTCTGGGACAGAAACTGCCATTCAGGTCAACGTTTTGTACGATTTTACAGGCATTCAGACATGAGCCTTCGTGGCAGAAGTAGCTCTGCCCCTTTAAATACAGGACACGTCTGGTTCCTAAGTGACAAGCAGAGGGATTAATAATTAATGTTGTGTGTAGGCATACTTTATTTAATTTTTTTCACCTTGTCAAGTGGGGTGTGCTGTAAATGCCAGAACCAGCAAAAATATAATTCTGTGCACTGGCTTAAATCATCCCTCCTTTGTGGAAGCGTCTTTTCCAACTGTGGTATTATGCTATAATCCACATTATCGCATAAAGGGATTATTTTCACAGAGCCACTACTTCCTAATCACCCAAATATTGTTTAATCTTCCCTTTCTTTATAGATTACCGTAATTTATGCTCTATTTTGAAATCCTATTGCCTTTAAAAGCACTTGATTGGGCTGTGTTTCCTGGAGTTCACTCCAAAGGACAGAGCTCCATTACCTGACACGCATTTGTTTGGATGAGTGTTGCTGTTTTCCAGTATTAATTTGATCAGGCCAATGTGTCCTCTTGGATTTAGAAAGTGTCCACTTAATCGAGTGTTGAACTGCTCAGCTGTGAAGCCGACATGCAGATGAATGTCATTGGAATACTTTGTGGGAAAGAGCAAAAGTACAGGTGTGGTGCTGTTTACGAGATATTCACGCTGGAGATACAAGTGGCCAATGTGTCTAAACGGATAATCTCATTGATTTCACAAATCCCAGATTTATTTTTCTTAAATGTCACCTTTATGGATGGATAATCACATCATATTGTATATAAGGCTTTAGAAAGTGCAGACATAAACATAGAAATAAAACAACAGATATGAATCTAAAACTACTGATAGCATGTCTTAATTTCAGATATCAATTTAATAGTTTTTATTTGTTTCTTTCATAGTGGCGATACGCTGTAAAAATGTGGATGACTTCATTGTTTTAAATTGAATCAACCGTTAATTCAGTCAATTCAACTTGCAACAATTAATGTTAAACGTTAAGTTGACCTTTGTGTAACTTAAATAAGTTAAAATCTGTAACTTACAGCTGAAACCTACACGTGTTGTCATTATTGTTTGATCATATTCAGGGCATCCGAAAAGTATTCATAGCGCTTCACTTTTTCCACATTTTTATGTTACAGCCTTATTCCAAAATGGATTAAATTAATTTATTTCCTCAACATTCCACACACAATACCCCATAATGTCAATGTAAAATTAAGATTTTTTTAAATTGTTGCAAATTCATTAAAAAAAGAAAAATTACGTGTGCGTAAGTATTCACAGCCTTTGCTCAATACTTTGTTGATGCACCTTTGGCAGCAATTACAGCCTCAAGACTTTTTGAATATGCCACAAGCTTGGCACTTTTTTGGGGAAATGTCTGCCCATTCCTCTTTGCAGTACCTCTCAAGCTCTATTGTGTTGGATGGGAAGCGATGGTGTACAGCCATTTTCAGATGTTCAATAGGATTTAGATCTGGGCTGTGGCTGGGCCACTGAAGGACATTCACCGAGTTGTTGTGACGCCACTCCATTGATATTTTGGTAGTGTGCTTTGGGTCATTGTCCTGCTGGAAAATGAACTGTTGCCCCAGTCTGAGGTCAAGAGCGCTCTGAGGCATTTTCCTTCAATCCTGACCAGTCTTCCAGTTCCTGCTGCTGAAAATCATCCCCACAGCATGATGCTGCCACCACCATGCTTCACTGTAGAGATCGTATTAGCCTGATGATGAGCGGTGCCTGGTTTTCTCCAAATGTAACGCCTGGAATTCACTCCAAAGAGTTTAATTTTAGTGCCATCAGACCAGAGAATTTTGTTTCTTATGAAAGTCCTTCAGATGCTTTTGGGAAGTTCCAGGCAGTGAGTGGCTTCCTTCTGGCCACGCTACCATACAGGCTTGATTGGTGGATTGCTACACAGATGGTTGTCCTTCTGTAAGGTTCTCCTCTGCACAGAAGATTACTGAAGCTCACACTGAGTGACTATCGGGTTATTGATCACCTCCCTGACTAAGGCCCTTCTCCCCGATCACTCAGCTTAGATGGCCAACCAGCTCTAGGAAGAGCCCTGGTGGTGCCAATCATTTTCCACTTACGGATGATGGAGGCCACTGTGCTCACTTTAACTTTCAGTGCAGCAGAAATTATTCTGTAACCTTCCCCACAAGGCATGCCTCGAGACAATCCTGTCTCGAAGGTCTATAGACAAATTCTTTGTCTTCATGCTCGGTTTGTTCTTAGACATGCACTGTCAACCCTGGGACTTGTATAGACAGGTGTATGCCTTTTCAAATCATGTCCAATCAACTGAATTTGCCACAGATGAACTCCAATTAAGCTGCTGAAACATCTCAAGATTGATCAGTGGAAACCGAATGTACTTGAGCTCAATTTTGAGCTTCACAGCAAAGACTGAGAATACTTATGTAGATGTGATTTTTCAGCTTTTTTATTTTGAATAAATTTGCAACAAATTCAAAAAAACTTATATATATATATATATATATATATATATATATATATATATGTGTATATATATATATATATATATATATATATATATATATATATATATATATATTTTTTTTTTTTTTTTTTTTTGTGAAAATCTTTGTTGTAATTCTTAGTTCTTAACAGATCAAACTGCAACTATCTTTGCCAAGCATAGACCACTGTTTAACATTATTATCTAATGTGCCCCACAATGTTTTTTTCTAATACAACAAAAGCCTGATTCCAAGGGATAATTCGCACCAAAAATTAAAAATCACTCATTACTTGCCTCTCAATTGTTTCAAAACATTTGTTTATTTCTGTTGAACAAACTAAACTGTTACCATTGCCTTCCATAGAATTAGTTTTTCCTACTATAGTTGTCTATGGTTACAGGTTTCCACACTGTAAAAATTATATAATCAATTAGTCCTGACAGCATATGATTTTACTCCATTGGTACTTTTTAAACTAAGTTAATCATGTTCCAACTTAACTTTATAAGTCACGCAAGCTGTTTAAAGTCAGTTTAAAATAATATAAGTTCAATGGATTCATAAAGTTAATTTGATTCAGCTTAAAAATTAAGGTGACTAGGATTTTATTTACAGTGCAGCATTCTTCAAAATATCTTCTTTTGCGCTCAACAAAGCAAAAAAGACACAAACTGGGTTGGAACAATTCAAGGGTGGGTAAATAACAGAATTGTATGTTTGGGTGAAGAATCCCTTTAAGCAGACATTGTGCACTTTATCTTGCAGTGTGAAGGCTGAGAAACAAGCACCCAAAATGTGTTATATAATCACACCTTTCACGTTTTTCTTCTGGACTAATAAACAAAAGAGACTCACAATAATGCATTTCTCTCAGCAAGTATCTTTGCTTTTCTGTACATAATGTACAGTACATGAACGTCTTCGCCTGAAATGCACAGAAATGACTCCCTGGTGGTTTTATGTGCTGTTTGAGTGACTGGTGAGTTTGTGTTGTGGACTGGGCTGTTTTAATAGTGTGTGTGTGTGATCACATGCCCTTTTTGTGTTTTTCTGTGCAGTTTCAGTGTGTCTACTGATATCATCAGATAAATGAAGGGTGAACGTCTTATGTGTGTTAAAACTGGGAGCACAACTGTATTTAAATTTGTAACAAAGAAAATCTCGTTTCACAGCACTATATAAAATGTTTCCCACAGCGCCCTGCTCACAGATTCCCTCCCGAGCCTCTGACAGCCTGACCTGATTTACCATCAACTATACTGGGAACTTTGTGGTGATGCACTGTGACTTCAAAAGTGCTTTTATTTCACTTTTTTTTTCTTTTTTTTTTCTTTTTTTTTACAGACACTTTGTGTTGTTGTAAAGTATTTAGAGATAAACAGTTTCATGAGAGGATGATCTTCTAAGTGAATGTGTAATTTATTGTTGGGGTTGGCTTTATTAATAAAACTTTTACTTGAATCATGTTTTATTGACGCATTTATTTATTGGGAAAAGAGGAGCGAGTCTCTGTGGTGGCCAAGACTATACTTTAATGATCTGTCTAGTGTTTCGAAAGGTCAGCCATTAGATTTTTTCACGTGACTTTCACAGAAATTAGAGTCATATTATAGAGTTATAAATATGCTGGAATGCACTGTTAAGAGTTTTTTTAATGATATTTCAGTGAATAGAGTTATTATTATTCATTCTTTGTTTTTTTAAGAAACATAGTTTGGCAAAAATGTTTACATATAACAACAATACACCACAACATATGAGGGAAACTACATAAAGAAATGATGAAAAATGCTATCTTAAAGGGGTATTTCAACCCATTATGTACCCATCTTTCACCTGTTTCAATTTTTTTCATCGGAAGAAATGTGGAAACCTAAAACTATTGATTTCTGAAGTATTTGTTGGATGTCAATGTGTTACAGGTATTCATCTTTCTTTAAGATATTTACCTTTGTGTTCCACTGTAGAAATAAATGCCTGAAGGTTTGTAACCACTTAAGGGTGCGTAAACAGTGAGTATATTTTTATTCTTGGGAGAATTCACCCTTTAGGGCAAACTTTTCAGCCCACAACCCCCAAAATAACAATACGGTGACTCCCGCATTATTCTCTGAGGTGGTTATAAATATATAAACCTTGTTCACAATGGCACACACATAGCAAAATGCCCAAGTCTATTCATCATTTAATTTTTGGAAGTGCCACTCTGAGACCATCCGTTCAGTAGTGGCCTGGATTTATATTTAATGTACGCAAGTGCCGTAATTATGTCTAAGTTAAACCTGATGCCATAAAATCAATGTGTTGCATCTGATGCTATTGCTGTGTCTTTAATATAACGTAATGACCCCAGGGGTCGCAAAAAATAAATAAATAATACAAATTTAAATGCTGATGGCTTTTTATTTGCCTGTTGTTTAATAAAAGGAATTCAATTTTTGACCTGCACTTTGGGAACCACTGCTTTAAGGCACCTTTATTTATTTATTTATTTTTTTTTTTTTTTTGGTGTAAAACATCATTTAGTGGTTGTTGTCTTTACCTGAGCAGATTTTAATTGTAACTCGGTGAACATCAAATGCTGAGAAATGCATTGTAGGTATGAATATATGTTGATATAGGGTGCTCTGCATTTTCCTCTAGCCAAAAAAACTAACAAAAAATAAATAAATAATGAATGAATGCAAAAATAATACAATGGGGGTGACTGGTGAGAAAATGTTATTTATATAAGAATATTGGTGATGTTTAAGTTAGCCATATCACTTTTTGTTCATTACATTATAAGCAGTTACAATAGTAATTGTGTTGATTTTGATTAGAATGCTACAAATGCTTCTCAATGTTTAGCTGGATGTTCAGAAGTACAGTGACCTAAGGACAGAACAGAGAAAATGAATATTAAAACAGGTTGTACTGCAACTGACTGATGAGTTGAAGGGGTTTACAATCAAATAACTGAAAAACATTTTGGCCCGTTTTAAAATTAATTTACATTGATATTATGAACATTTTAAAGTAAATGATAACTTTGGTAGTTGATATCTCAATTTTGGTTTACCACAAATTATTTCAAAGTTACTGCAAAACGTTTTAGTTACATGATTAGTCCTGGAGGTACCTGGTCCTGAGGGTTCCTGGTCTTGGTTCCTTTTGCTTCAAGCCCCAAATATTTAGATCACATCTGAATAAAAAGAGAAAATGTAATCAAACAAACAGCAAGTTTTGAGCATTGCAATCCATACTCAGCATGTCTGATATGATTTCATTATTAAGGTATTTAGGTTATATGTGGAACCTTTTAAACAAATGTGTGTTGCTGTTATATTCTGGGTGAATTTGTTGATAAATTTGGTCTTTTAATGTTTTTGAAACTACATTATTACCTAGAACGAATGGCTGTCAGTAAAATCTTGTTTTGCCCTCCTGGTGGAGGTCATGAATAATATGCATTTAACATGTTGTCAAAATTTAAAGAAAGTCAAAACCTTTGACCTGTTCTTGTTTTACATCACTTTTTTGATTCACTTCAAATGTTGACTATACTGCAGTTTCAGACAGGGTTCTTACAAATTTTAAAATCCATTATGTTGTTCCAAACTTAAAAAAACAAAGAAAAACTCTGCAAAACTCAGAAGTTTTTAGCTCAACCAAACCATTTTTTAAATCAATTCATTAATTAACAGTTTTGATATTTTGTCATTTACGGGTTATTTTGGTTTAATTACAGTTAGAAATTGCATTGTGGGATCTTGATCTATGTGCTCTGTTAACTTTTGATGTTTAACTCTGTACAGCAATGTGCATTTTATTGACACCAGTAGTTTGAAACTGAATCTGAAATCTTCTTCTAAAATCAGGCCCATATTGGTTTCGGGTAGTTTGAAAGACCCACCCCTCACTGACAAAGGTCCAGTATTTGACACATCGATGAGTTTTTTTTTTTTTTTTTTCTATTTTGACTGCTATGCCAAACATTCTAACAAATTGTAAAAAATAACCCATTATAAAGTCACACCGTGCCAAAATCGACAGACGAAAGTTGAATGTGCTGCTCAGTTTGTATTTGCCTATAGGCTTTATACAATGACAATGTACAGTTTATAATTTAAGAGTTTAACAAATTCCTATTTTTTCTAATAATGTATTTTTAAAATAAGTATTGTATTTCTTCTAAATCTTTAGGAAATGTTTTTGGTTCATCAGAAAGAGTTGTTATGATATGGCCATCTGACAAGCTAATCCAGCAAAGGATAGTGCTTAAAATTAAAAAAAAAAAATGCAGTATTTAAACATCATAATTAAACAGAAAATGAGGGAAATAACTGCAAAAAAAGGAGAAACGAGAAAAAGAAACCACCTCTTCCACCAGCCTGGCTATACAGGCCTGAAAATGAGCATCTTTCTCAGCCTAATTTCATTTATTTCACTTTGAAGGGAATGAAAAGGTACAAGAAAATGAGAAAAAATGCTAATTTTAGATGAAAATTTCAGAGGCATTTAATGGTTCATCTAAATTATTTATAAAACTGAAAAAAAGCACTGTACGTTTTTGTAATTTACAATCCCAATCCAGACAATATCAATTAAAAATCCCAAGTCACTTTTTTAATCTTTTTAACATTAAAAAGTCCCATAAGGCAATTTCAAAGCATAGAAAACATGAATAACAAAATACAGAAAACTGCTAATTTGACTGCTAATTTCTTTACAGTAGGCCTGTATTTGCCCTTATTTAAAAAGACCCAGTTGAGATCTAAATCCCTTGATATATATATATATATATATAAAAACTGATTTAAAAAATGGAAAGTGAAATACGTTGCATCCAGTGAAGACTAAAACAAGGTATCAGCACCGCGCAAACCTTTCTACAAGACTGGCTGCAGGTAAGTCGATGTGTATATCTACTGATATAAAATAAAAATATAATTAAAAATAAAATATTGTAATAGTTGAACATTACTAAATTTAGGTGGTGTGGACCGTGGCACAGTCAGTAGTGCTGTCGCTTGACAGCAAGAAGGTTGCTGATTGGAGCCTCGGCTGGGTCAGTTGGCATTTCTGTGTGGAGTTTGCATGTTCTCCCTGGTTTCACTTCCTCCGGGTGCTCCGGTTTGCCCCACAAGTCCAAAGACATGCAGTACAGGTGAATTGGGTAAGCTAAATTGTCTGTTGTGTGTGTGGATGTTTCTTAATCATGGGTTGCAGCTAGAACACTGAAAAAAATTATTCAGAGATGATTCCTTGGATTTACTCAATTTTTTTACGTTAAGTGGTTGTAAACATTTTATTTGTGTTGAATTTAAACAAACAAATTAAGTTGAACATTGTTAAACTTAATTTGTTTGTTTAAATTCAACACAAATAAATTGTTTGCAACAGTTCTGCATGCAACACTTTTTTCAGTGAAGGGCATACGCTGCATAAAAATTATGCTGGATAAGTTAACGGTTCATTCCGCTGTGGCGACCCTAGATTAGTAATCAGACTAAACAGAAAAGAAAATGAATAAATAAATGAATTACAAAATTTAAATTGTTTAATTGTTTAAATTCAACAAATTTAAATAGTTTTGTACAAGAAATTTTTGCAGATATCATTTTTTCTTTGTGTTTTTATCTGTATTGTTTTATTTCTCTCACATTAAAACATGACAGGCAATATATAAAATTATAAAATTAGGTTGATACAATGTGTAGTTTTCGTCTATCATTTGAAATGCTGTGCAAGTTTTCAGCAAAAAAAAAAAAAATTGTAGCCTACTGTATTTATTTATCAAAAAATTATAAAATTGTATTGATACAATGCATGGTTTAAACGTTTGTCTTTGTCATGGGCCTGCATGAAGGCACATAGCTACACTAGGCAAATTGAAAAGAAAAAACTAGCTTTATGATAAGATTCCAGTTGGAATGAAAACAATATGAACATTATACTAAAGAATTTCATTTATTTAACCGTGTGTAGATAGAATGTACAGTGATACCTTTAGCAAGCCAACCCATGATTTGACAAACAAACTTCAAATCCCACAATTCTCAATAACACCCCGTAATTACCCAGCGTTCACCGCGGTTGTGCAAAATGGCGGCTATTGCAAGCACAAACACAACAGGCTTTGACTGCCCGTCATGGTGAGATAAGAAACCAATTACTTCATTTTTGCACTCAAAGTGAAGTCCTGCATGCATGTGTGTGGAGCTACCTAGTAGGTCATTAATGCATAAATACAAACAATGCAATTTACCCCTGTAAACAAGAGTCGCAGACAGAAACTCAACACACAGTAAAATATCGAATATGCATAATTGCGTTAATGAATGGACTTTTATTCTGTTTTTATGTGGCTAATTTGTGCCATGTATATGGATCCGCTATTTCGTGTTGCGTTGCACATTTTAGTATTTAATGTTGAATAATTTAATTTAATAACATTTAATCTCAGGGCAGGAAAACCTCCACCTGGACTTCATTTGGATGTGGTTAAAGGAGACAAATTAATAGAGGTAAGACGAATTAACATTACTGTTAAATAAACAGTGATGAATGTTGTTGTTTACCCTTATATAATAGTTTAAAAATATATTAAAACGTCATGGGGAAAAATTCCAATTAGCGTTCAATGTGCAAAGTCATTATAAGATATATCTCAATGGTAAAGTTGGTTTATATTCGCACATTCATTCAGTGAGACTCTCCTTATATTGTTTACCATGGTACTTTGAATATTCGGTCTGAAATCACATGCATGACTTCAAAACAACATTAGCACTATTTAATAGATTGTGGATGTTGTACTTTGATAGTCACTGGCTGCTAATATATCCCTATTTAGAATTTGCGAATAATACTTTTCAGAAATTTTTTTATCAAGGAGAAAGTCCTAATACGTGAATATAAAACCAACTTTACCCTGATGGTTTCTCATGTCTGAAAACTTGTAGATGGGAAATACTACCAGAAATGATAGGGGTAAAGTTGGTTTTATATTCAATATTCAGACATTCTCCTTTATAATATATTTTCAGAAAAGTATTTTTTGCAAATTCTAAATAGGGAAATCATATTAGCAGCCAATGACTATCAAAGTACAACATTGCTTACAGTGAATTGTATAGTGTTACTGTTGTTTAGAAAGTCATACTTGCATAATTCCGAGCAAATGTTCAAAGTAACATGGTAAACAATAAACAGACTGCTCAATGAACGAATGTGTGAATATAAAACTGACTTTACCTCTATCCAGAAACGTACATTATCAGTCCCTGAAATAAAAAACCATAAATAGAGTGGATAAAAAAAAAATTTATCCCAAGAATTTCTAAAATGGACTAATGGTTGATTTCTGCGAGAAGTAGGTGATTCATTTTGTTCTCAGTTTTTTTTTTCCTATTAAAAGCACCCTACAAATATACAAACCCTGTCATTGTCCTTGTCCTCAGCTCAATTTAACCTACAGCTTTAATAGTTTTGTTATGCTTAAACTGTTGTTTAGAAAAAAATACTTCAGAAATAGCATGTTTAAGTTATCATTCACATTAATTGATTAAAAACATAAAATTATAAATAAATTCTACAAATAAATACTGCAAATATATAATACAAATAAATTTACAACTGTCCCAATGTTTCTGTCAGTCTTGTCACATTTGCATTAAATTTAACATAAAATGCATGCAATACATGTTTAATGGCGAACTCAAGGCGACCGTGATCACTGAATTGTATATTTTTATACTTGTTTTTGTATGATTTTTTTGGGGACAACAAGGTTAAATTAGGCGCTGTCACGTTTGTTTTAAGTGAAACTTTACATTTCTGTTACAATGTCTCAGATATAAGCAAAAAGGGAGTTTAATAATTGTATTAATTTACTTAATAAACTCAAATTTGACAAACCAGAACTTTTTGGATGAACTGACTTTGGAATTTTGTGACAAATATACTAGGTTTCATAATCTCTTATTGTTTATTTTTTATACACTTTTTCTTGTCTCTTGCAGAAGTTGATTATAGATGAGAAGAAGTTCTATCTGTTTGGGAGGAACCCGGACCACTGTGACTTCACGATAGACCACCAGTCGTGTTCGCGTGTTCATGCAGCACTGGTTTACCACAGACACCTCAAGAGGGTGTTTCTCATTGACCTCAACAGCAGTGAGTGCAGAAGATGCCACATTTAAGTAATTTAGCTTTTAACTTTAAACACATGCTTTTTCATTTCTCTTTATTCAGCACATGGCACGTTTCTGGGCAGAATTCGCCTTGAACCCCACAAACCTCAGCAAGTTCCGATCGACTCGACCATGTCGTTTGGTGCATCAACACGAGTTTACACACTGAGAGAGAAACCGCAGACGCAGAGTAGCTCCACCACAGGAGACAGTAAAGGAGTGGAGGATGAGGAGCTCAAGGGCTTGCTGGGACTGCCAGAGGAAGAAACGGAGTTAGAGGTGTGTAAAAAGAGTGTTCTACATAATAGACAATGTAAATGTTATCGTGGAAGTGCACATATGTAATTCAGCCTTCCTGAATGCAATCAAGTAAAAGACAACATTGTGCATTAATTGTGATGTGCATTTTTTCTAAAAATGTGCATTAAAACCCAGTGATAAATCAAATCACAAAATAAGTCTGTGTCAATGCATGCTTCTTTCCTAATCCATTGAAAATCTATTAGAAAATATATTCTGTACTTTTTCCCTTAAGACAAGTTCAAACATGAATCTCTTCAGAATTTTGGGGCCTATATATATATATATATATATATATATATATATATATATATATATATATATATATATATATATATATATATATATATATATATATATATATATATATATATATATATATATATATGTCACAAAAGTGATTACACCCCTGCCATTTGACTCTTTGATACAATGAATAGTAGTCAGTGTAAAGTGTGTATAGCAGTGTAAATTTATTGTCCTCTGAAAATAACTACAAATACAGCTAATAATATATTAACCCCTGGCAACAAAAGTGAGTACACCCCTAAGTGAAAATGTGAAATATGAATATTTTGTGCGGCCACCTTCATTTTCCAGCATGGTTTTAACTCTCTTGGGCATGGAGTTGACCAGAGCTTCACAGGTTGCCACTGAAATTCTCTTCCACTCCTCCATCACAACATCATGGAGGTGGTGAACATTTGAGACCTTTTGCTCCTCCACCTTTTCAGGATGCCCCAGAGGTGTTCTATGGGGTTTATGTCTAGAGACATGCTTTGCCAGTCCATCATATTTATCCTCAGCCTCTTTAGCAAGCCAGTGGTCATCCTGGATGAATGTTTGGGGTTATTATCATGCTGGAACACTGCTCTGCAGTTCAGTTTCCTGAGTGAACTGCTTCAGTATGTCACAGTACATCTTAGAATTCATGTTTCCCTCAATGAAATGTAGCTCCCCAATGCCAGCAGCACTCATGCAGCCCCAGAACATGACACTCCCACCACCATGTTTAATGGTAGGCAAGACTCGTCTTTGTACTCATCACCTGGTTGCCGCCCCACACACTTGACACACGCCACACACACTTGACACCATCTGAACCATTACTGGTTCCAGTAATCCTGGTCCTTAGTTTGCATGTCTGCAGCAAATTGTTTGCAAGCTTTCTTGCATCTTCTTTAGAAGAGGCTTCCTTCTAGGACCACAACCATGCAGATTAATTTGATGCAGTGTGCGGCGTACGGTCTGAGCACTGACAGGCTGACCTCCCATATCTTCAATCTCTGCAGCAATGCTGGAAGCACTCATCTGTCTGTTTTTAAAAGACAATCTTTGGATGTGATGCTGAGAGCGTGCACTCAGCTTTTTTGACCGGCCATAGCGAGGCCTGTTCTGATAAAAACCTGTCCTCTTAAAGCACTGAAGGGTCTTGGCCATTGTGCTGCAGCACAGTTTCAGAGTGTTGGTTATCGTCTTATAGCCTAGGCCATCTTTATGTAAGGCAACGATTTGTTTTTCAGGTCTTCTGAGACTTTTTTTTTTACATTCAAATGTTGTATTTCAGAGCACAACAAAAGCAGCGCATTGCTGAAGTGGCTTCTTCTACATTCAGACACATTCATATGTTATTTTTTGAACTGCATAACAATTATGGATGCAACAATTATAGATTTTGGTTGTCCGAATATATAGACTGAAGATCACGTCTAATGTAAACTCAAGCTTTATATTAGGTAAGCAGCTATTTAGATTAGCTGTTGTTACCATCTGTGTTCATGCATACATAATCATTTTAATAATAATTTGTCTAACATATCTTTGTTTACATTGCACTGAAAGGCACGCACAACTTTCACAGTGGGATGTTTTCTACTGTGTGCGCCTGCCCCGGAAAGACGCAAGCACGTTGCTCCGCTTGTGTGCGCATATTGTGATATATTCTTACATTGGAAATAACAAATTTGCAAGCAGAAAAGACGTGATATGGGAACGACCGCTGCTATAGTTAATCCAGTGTGCAACTTGCCATAACTTGGTTTAATTGCAGCAGTTTCATTTTGTTCCATGCAACAGAAATGTGGTTTAGAGAAGCCTTTACGATTAAATAATTGTGATGAATTAAAGCGCAGTTAATAGTGAAATCGGCTAATTGTTGCATCCGTATTGTCGATATCAATGCATAGTACAAAAGGCCTTTTCTACAAACTCATCCAAATGTTTTCGGCTGCCCGCGCCACTCGCTTATGGTGACTTACGCTCTGCGCAGCCTCTGCAGCTATTGAACAGACGCACGTCACTTTCTAACTATAGCGGCAGTTTTTCGACTTAACTAAATAAATTTTTGATGTCTTGGTCACACTATTTGGAGGGCCGGTACAAAAAAAAAAAAAAAATCCTTCAGAGGCCGGGTTCGGCCCTCGAGCCGCCAAATGAATAGCCCTATTATATATACTGATTCTGTATAAAACATCTATCCTAATCACATATGACTGGAAAAGTGAGAACAGATACATGGAAACCTACTGTTGCGTAATATATTTATTTATGCTTATTTTAAAAACCATGAAATGTATTTTAGTAAATTAAAACATTTGTATACAGATGTTCCTTGTTCTTTCTACACTCTAAGCGCAAATGAAAGTCAAACAGTCAGTAAATTAAAAAAAAAATCATTTATTTCACACTAAAAATGAAAATAAATTTGAATCCAATATATCCAAATTTTCTTTTCTCTTCAGAACCTGACAGAGTTCAACACCGCTCATAACAAACGCATTTCTACACTCACCATTGAAGAGGGAAACCTAGAGATCCAGAGACCCAAGAGGAAGAGGAAAAGCTCACGAGTGTCCTTCAGCGAAGATGAAGAGATCATAAACCCAGGTACACCAACACATACACACAGGGTTTGAATGTAATATGTACAGTGCTATTTGAAGGACACATCCCTTTTGATTAGAAATGACAGTAAAGGCATTTGCTATTTATTTGTTTAAAGACATTTCAGAAGTTTTCTATTTCGAATAAATGCTATACATCAAAGAATGTGGAAAATATTTAGTTTGTATTAGTGTTTCGTGGAGTTTTTATGAAAGCATTGATAATAATTATTAGAAACGTTTCTAGAGCAGGAAATCAGCATTTTAGATGGATTTCTGAGGCATCATGTGACTGTAGATAGTATAAATGATTGCTAAAAGTTTGGCTTCAATGTAGGGCTGGGCATTAAACATTTAACTCTATTGCATTTAATGAACAAGTATTTTATTTATTTATTTTATGTTTTTGCCCTCATAGTTCACTGACAAATTTTGTACAGTTAATATTCTCACATATTACAAGTGAGAGATTTTAGAATAAGGGGTGTATTACTTGATTTTAAAATAATTGAAGTAAACACACACTATTATCTTTCATTCTTTGTTGAACTCTGAACAACTGAAATTAAATCGCACATTACCTTAAATGCGGCTCTCTGCGCTGCCCACCCTGGTCACCACTACCAAACCGACCAATCACAAAGATTCCGTTATGATGTGTAGTTACCTTTTTTGAGAGGTGCGTGGGTATATGAAGGCTGTGCCAGGCCGTACGACAGTACGTCACCTTGGCAAAAGTATAAAATTAGAATAATATAATAAGTATAAATCATAATATAATAAGTATGAATTAGCCTTAACAGAGCAGGGTCATAAGACTCCACATGAAAGGGAAAATAATTTAAACAAATGACCTTGAAAAATTTGTTCCATTATGAATGTCGATTTAGATTATTTTTTCAATTAATCGCCTGGCCCTACTTCAACATCACTGAGGGGAAAAATGCAGTTTGAATATTAGTTCAGAAAGAAAATAGTTGTTAAATTGTATTGATAAACAGAATAGATGGTTTGTTTAAGGTACTTTTAATAAAATAAACACAAAGTAAATCCAAATAAAAGAAATACTTGGTGAGCACAAAAAAGAGAGATCGAAGGGACAAAACAATTGCAAACTCACAAAGCATTTTTCAGTATTTTGTGATTCATGTTTATTCAATGTCAAATCATGCAATTAAATTTTAAATTATGGCTTTAACCTTGACTCTATCTTTCAGCTTTTAACCTTAAAAGTCCCTTTTTCTAACTTTTTATTAACATTTTTAATAGTATAAAGGGGCACACTTTATTTTGATTGTCCGTTTGTTGAATTTAAGTTACATTCCATCTACATGCAAACTAATTCTCATTAGATTAGAAGTAGACTGTTAGGTTGAGGTTAGGGTAAGATGGCATGTACTTGCAAAGTTTTTTATAGTCATTTAAATGTCTTCTGAAGGAGCGGTATCAACAGATATTAAGCAGACAGTCTACTAATACTTAAATGGACCATCCAAATAAAGTTTTACCATATTAAGTGATATATTGTCTGGGTTGGTGTTGTATATTACACTATAAAAACCTTGTAATAAACTGGCAGTACATTTTCTGTTATTTTACACACTTATTTTTCTCCATATATTATTTCTTATACATTATATTATTTCAAACTGCTAAAAAGTCAATAAAAGTCACTTTGTTAAACCGTAGAGTTGAATTTTCGGCATCAAAAGTCGATGAGCAGAGATTCACATCCCATAATGCAATTCACAACTGTGTACAGAAAGCACTTTTGAATCACAAAACACAGAAACTGTTAATTAACAGATCTTTTTATTCAACATTCAAACAGTTGTAAATGTTATTACAGTACTAATATTCCCTTTTGGACACTCATCATGTGTGAATGGCTTGGTCTTCTCTCAGTCCTCGTTCGTGTTGTGACTTGTGTTAATAGCACATTGTTAATCTTTCTTTCACAGAGGACGTGGACCCTTCTGTGGGACGCTTCAGAAACATGGTGCAGACGGCAGTGGTTCCTATTAAGGTAGGATAATAGGCCTGCTCTCGTCTGTTGGTCTGCGTTGTTGTTTTAGCACGTCATCATTGATTTTAATGGATTTTAGAACAGCCGTTCTCTCAATACAATTTAAGTAGTTTGTTGCATGGCTCGCAAACAGGAAATTGTGTATAATGCAGGAGTAATGGCTTCTAAAAGGCTTTCTTTAGTCTGTCTCCTAATGTAAAGATGCTTTGGCCTTGAATGTCTACAGCAATCTGTCTTTAGGCCTTTGTGTTACTTTGAAATGGGTTTGGTTTTCAGACATACTATAAAACTTTTATATATACAGTGCCAATAGAAATCATCATATGCGGTGAAAATCAATACCTTTACTCACATCACACCCTGCTTTTAACAGAGCTTTGGTATAAAGTTGTGGGAGATGGCTACAAAAACATTTCAAAGGCTGGTAAAGTTATTTGGAATGTGATTTGATTTCAGGCTGTTTAACAAATATGTGTGGTTTAAGTTGATAATATAATATAATATAATATAATATAATATAATATAATATAATATAATATGATATGATTTAATATAATATAATACAATACAATAAAATACAATATAATATAATATAAAATATTATAATATAATACAATACGATATAATATAATGGCTGTATATATTGTTAGACACTCAAATGTGGTGTTATCATTTTACAGAATTGTAGGTCAAATTGCAAAACACACACAGACAGACATAAAGGGTGACCAATAGTGATGAATTAATAAGATTATATATAGAAAATTTTGCCCAGCTGTAGCAATATATTTCATATAATTATAAACATTCACTGGCCACTTTATTAGGTACACCCACTTTTGCCTTCAAAACCGCCTTAATCCTTTGTGGCATAGATTTTAACAAGGTACTGGAAATATTTTTTAGAGATTTGATAGACATTATAGCGTCACGCAGTTGCTGCAGATTTGCTGCAAATTTGTCGGCTGCACATCCATTATGTGAATCTTCTGTGTCACCACATCCCAAAGGTGCTCTATTGGATTGAGCTCTGGGGACTGTGGAGGCCAATTGAGTACAGCGAATCCATTGTCATGTCCAAGAAACCAGTCTGAGATGATTTGCGGTTTATGACGTGGCGCGTTATCCTGCTGGATGAAGCCATCAGAAGATGGGTACACTGTGGTTATAAAGAGATGGACATGGTTAGCAACACTACTCCAGTAGGCTGTGGTGTTGACACAATGCTCGATTGGTACTAATGGGCATTTGGGCCCACATTGGAACTAATGGGCATTTGCGCCCACAGAACTGCCGCTCACTGGATATTTTCCTCTTTTCAGACCATTCTCAGTAAGCGCTAGAGATGGTTGTGCGTAAAAATCCAAGTTGATCAGCAGTTTCTGAAATACTCAGACCAGCCCGTCTGGTACTGACAACCGTGCCACATTCAAAATCACTTAAATCCTCTTTCTTCCCCATTTTGATGCTTGGTTTGAACTGCAGCAGTTCGTCTTGACCATGTCTACATGTCTTAATTCATTGAGTTGCTGCAATGTGATTGGCTGATTAGAAATTTGCGTTAACGAGCAGTTGGACAGGTGCATGATAAAGTAACTGGTGAGTGTATTTTGAAAAATAATTAATATAATATTTTTTCTTTTTTATTATTGTTTTTTTTTTACTAATGTTTAAAAACCTATGTATCAAAATTGTATATTTGTAACTGTAAAGTTATTTTATTTTTAAAACAGTTTTATGGTCATTTAAAGCCCAAAGTGTTTTTCAGAACATACTCGGGCACAATCTCCATGTTTGCTCAATTTGATTGTGTTTATGAACACAGGCGCTCGACTTTGTACTAACTCAAAATGGTAATAGGCTTTTAATAAAAAAATAAATTTAGCTCACCATTTCACCCTCAAATGCTTCAGAATCTTTGAGTTTCTTTTTCTGTTGAACACAAAAAAAGATACTTTGAAGACTGTTGGGCACTGGCAGCCATTATCACTTTAATGAATTTCTTTTCATGTTGAACACAAAATTAGATGGTAATAGTTTTCTTTCTTTTCAACAGAAGAACGAAACTCAAACAGTTTTGGAACAAATGGAGGATGAACTAATGACTTTTTTTCTTTTCAGATGAACTATTCTTTTAAAGGTCCTGTGAAGTGCTTTGAAATGTGCATTTTTGAGAGGGTGGGGCATGGTTTAGATCCTTAAAAAAAACAAAAAAAAAAACCAGCCAGAAGTGTTTTCTTTTATCACCACTCTGCCAGTCAGTGGTTGAGCTTCAGATGTGCATCAAATGGGAAGCATCTTGAAAGGGGTGGGGCATATCATAAACTAAAGAGCATTTGATTGGTCAAGATTTGATGAGAAACTGAAGAATGAAGTGAAGTGAATAAAACCATTGATCCATTGCTGAAGTGACAAACTACAAGCTTTACATGTTTATAACTATTTTATATTTTTTTAAACAGAAATGTTATTGTTTTGGTGTGCACTAGCATGTAGATATAAAAAAAATGGAAAAAAATATTGACGATACCATCTACAAAAATGTTGTTTTACTTTATTGGGACATTTAAATAAAACATTTAAAAACATTTTAAAAACATTTATTTACATTCTGTGAATTTCTGCACTACAGAAAAAGAAACTGGAAGGTCACAGTACGTTGGGACTTGACGAAAACGTAGCACGTCGGTTACAGAACTTCCCCCTCAGCGGAGGGCTTTATGGCGACCTGCCGCCCACCAGCCATGAAGCAGGAGGGCAAGGCGGCGGAGGTCAGGGAGGTGGTTCTGCCATCACGGGTGGGATGCCTCTACCCTTCCCCAACCCTGCTCCAGAGGTGGACGTCTCACCCACCACTGTGCAGCCTCCAGCCATGCTGAACCCCACTCCTGCTCCCGGACCCTATTCAGCAGAGCCCCTCAATGAGCCTCGCAAGAAGAAATACGCCAAAGAGGCCTGGCCTGGCAAAAAGCCAACCCCTTCACTGCTGATTTAACATGGCGCTCAGAAGGATGGACACAGACTATGTTTGGCACATGAAGATCACATTGTTCAGGTTGTTGGTTCCAGATGTCGTTTTCCAGCACTTCTGATACATACTACAAATATGTAATGCTGCTTTTTATTGCTTGAGGATTTGCCATTGGTTATACACCAATTAAACATTTGAAACTGGCTGTAACTGCCGAGGAGAGTTAATATATAGAAATGTCTGATTTCACACCAAAATCAAAAGGGAAAATACTAATTATATGGTCATTGTAAAATTAAGCTGTCGATTTTAATTTATTGTTTTTTGCATTTAGATTTTTTCATCTGTCTCCACAAATACATTACATTTAGTCAGACACTTTTGTCCAAAGCAACTTACAAATTAGAAGGGATTTAGCGACAAGAAGATGCAATACACACAAAAAGTGCTAATTATACAAATACATATTAATTTAACCAGAGTGATCCTGTCTGGAATTATTTAACATCATATACACTGTAAAACATGCTGGGCTCCACACAATATCTTCATCTCGTCTAAACGCAAATCTATTATGTTAATTTTAAGTTGATTGAACATAAAAAATTAAGTTATACCTAAAAAAACTAAAGAACTGTGTTGTTTCAGCTCATTTCAAATAGGTAGTTTGAACAAGCAGCAAACATTTTTTGTGTAGTTGATCAGAATTGACAGTAAGAGCGCTACAGAAAACAATGTGTAAAGGCTTTTTTTGGCGTTATAGAGAATTTGGAGAGATGTTTAGTTTAGCAAAAAACTCATACATAGGAATCTTAATAGGTTGGATTTTTTCCTTTAAGGTAATACGTTACTTAAACTCACTAAGACTATTTGTTCAAAAATACAGTATAGATACTGTGTGTGGTTTATTCCTGTGAATTAAATATGAATTTTCAGCCATGTTACTTCAATTTTCAGTGTCACATGATCCTTGAAAAAATCATTCAATTATATGCTGTTTTGCTGCTCAAGAAATATTTATTAATGATGTGAAAAGTTGCTGCTTCATAGTTTTGTACAAATCATGATAAATTAACATTCAAATGCATGATGTGAGTATGATTTATGTATGTATGTATGTATTTATATATTTATTTATTTATTTTAGTACAGAAAATATGCTTTTAAGTAATATGCACTGTAAAACCCAACAGTCAACTTTATCAAATGAAGTGAGTGTAGTTAACTCAAAATTGACTGAAAGTTCTACTCTATTCTACTAAGTGTTTTGAACTCAGAGCTGAAGGTAACGAGGTAATTAAATGCCTCATTACTTTCACTTAAATATAGTGAATTCATAGTACTTGTATAGATTAGTTTTTTAAACAAATTATTTGTTGCAATTGTTTTTCTCAAACGGTTTGAGTTGCCTTAACTTTTGGGTTTTTAAGTACTCAGTTGGTTTGAGTTCTCTTCATTTATCAGGTTTACTGAGCTAAAATTGCTTCATTTACTCAAATGAATTAAGTTCACAGTACTTATTAGGATTAGCTTTTGAACTTAAAACAGACTTTAACTTTTTGAGTTTTACAGTGTGAATGCACATTCAACTGATCAAAAGCCACTGAAGAACTTTTTAAACTGCAGCAAAGTGTTGATAACTATGCTTTCATCATTGATGATAATCATCAACATTTATCATTTCTGAAGGATCTTTAATGCTGAGTTGTGACCTATGAAAATGTAGCTTTCACAGGAATAAATTACATTCATTATAATTAATAGCAAGCTGTCTAAATTGTCTTAGTATTATTATTATTATAGATTTATTTATTTATTTGTCATATTTTTAAGACTTCATTCAAAAAATGTTATCAAAAATTGCATTTATTCCAAACTTTTTGACTCGTGGTGTAATATTTCTAGCACTCATTTTACATATTGATTTCAGACGTTCTGTATTGAACAAAAGCAAATGCAGAGACTAATTCAGTAGGTACGAATGAGTGATTTGAGCATGTGTTCTTACACTAAAGAATCTTGCACTACATTCAAGCTGTTTTGTTATCCGTGTGCAGAAACCACTGCATTTAACAGTAACACTTGTTTAATAAGTAGACTTGCTTTTTTTTTGAAAGCCTAAGAGCTTTGCACACCCTAGGAAAAACAGAATTTTCAGCTGTTCTTTCATGTTAGGCTCTTTTTGTAAAGATATTTTGAATTGATGTATTTGAAGTACTAACCAAAGTATTTGAAGTACTAACCCAATGTTACGATGCTAAACATCATCTGTTTGAGCAACGTGTTTAACGCTGTCATAAACAGACTGTATTACATATAGGACGTTTTTTAAATGAAATGTTTCGAAGTACTGTGGCTGTGAATACAATGTTTATAGAGAGAGGTTGAATACGAACATCAAACACTGATAAAAAGAGAACAGAATGATTTGTGTCATCTGAACGCAGGGGGTTGACTTGTAATGTGAACTGTTTTGTTAACGTTTTTATATATATATTTTTTATATTTGAGTGTAAAGCACGGATGAAAGAAGACTAAATGTAAAAAGATAAGAGGAATTCCTGTTATTGTTGGATTCTTTGTCTAATAAACAGTATTCCTTGCCCTTAACACAGTGTACATTGATGATAGATTATGTTTTGTAAAGAACATTTTATTTCTGCTTTACGAAATAAAAGGCAATAAGTTTGCCTTTGAGTATTTGATCAGATAACAAAATTTGTTTCCTGTTTGATATATTTATAATATAGTAGGAAGCTTTTTTGCACTAGATTGCACAAGGAAAAAATAAGTAAAATAACGGTCAGTAAATTACAGAAATTTACTGTAAAATAGCAGTTATTAAATTAGAGAAATTTCCTAAAATTAAAGTTTCTGGTAAATTTCTGTTATTCAACCTCTGTTATTTTACAGTAAATGTATGTAATTTAATTGGAATTATTGTATGTTTTTTTTTTTTCCAGCATCCCAGCTGCCAGAAATAAATCATAAAATTACAGATTTTTTATTTTTTTTTCAGTGTGGAACTATTAAGTTGATTAATTTTTGTATTTATGCTAATTGTACTTTTATTAAAGTAAACTAATACCTTTTTACAGTGTCAGACTATTTTAGCAAGTCTGTTTTAAAAAAAAAAACAGTTACAATGTTACATATTTAAGTAAAAAAAAATCTACAATTATAGCCTGTATTGAATTTAGAAGACACAGTGGAGTCTGGAAGAGCAGAATTATTTGCAGTCAGGGTTTAATGCTAAGGATTTTTTCTACAGCCTGATCTGATTCAGATTTTTTACGTGCCCTGCTAAAATTTTCGCTGGCCCCACCAAAAAAAAAATAAATTAAGTTAATAAATTTCTTAGCCATATATTTTAATTAATGTAAAAAAAACAACATCTGTGAATCTAGAATTAAAATATTTTTAAAAATGTGTAATGAACAAAATTCAAAGTGCAAACAAAAAAGAGCAGTATGGAAAATGTGCAGGTATTTTATTGGAGTTCTAAATCATTTAACAAAAGGTGGTTAACTTGCCAAACTGGTGCCATTTTTTTTTTTTTTCTCTCGTGTTGTACATAAGTAAATCCAAGATGTTAAAAACAGACATTTTCTTTAGGCCTCATTTGATGTTGCCAACCCTTCGCTGTACTGGTTATGAGTTAATTAAATACCTTTGAGTTACCTTAACTTTTTGGGTTTTACAGTGTGTATATGAAATCTTTTATAAATTGAACTTTGATAATACTAATAACTGTTAAAGCATCAACAATATTTGATAACTGCTAAAAGTGCAAGGATAGGGGAACTTGAGGGAACAGGTTATCTATTCAAAAACAAGGTGGAATAAAAGTTTTCTGCTCTTTAAAACCTGATAAGCTAACTCAAATCGTTTGAGGAAACCGATTGTGGCAAACCGTTAAAGTTTTGAAACCAAATGATTTGAGTACTGTAAACTTATACATGTATTGAATCATATACACGTATATTATTTAAGTTCATATTGTCAAACATTTAGAGTACACTGAAAAAAGTGTTGCATGCAGAACTGTTGCAAACAATTTATTTGTGTTGAATTTAAACAAACAAATAAGGTTTAATAATGTTCAACTTAATTTGTTTGTTTAAATTCAACACAAATAAATTGTTTACAACCACTTAACGTAAAAAAAAAATTTGTAAACCTAAGGAATCATCCTTGAATATTTTTTCAGTGTATTAGTAACTGATACAGATTTGACAACTGAACTTAAAATGTTTGGGTTCAGTTAACTTAAACGATTTAATTCAAACAACTGTATAGCTCAAATAGTTTTAGGAAACCGATTGCGGCAAATGGTTAACATTGACTGAACTCAAATGAATAAAGTTAGTCAACATAAATGGTTTGCCGCCATCGGTTTCCCTAAAACATTTGAGTAGCTATACAGTTGTTTGAACTTAAATCGTTCTATTACCCGAGTAAACAAGAAATTACACGTGTAAGTTCTATTACACGTGTAAACAAGAAATTACATAAAAAGGAGGTATTAGTATATATATATATATATATATATATATATATATATATATATATATATATATATATATATATATATATATATATATATTTATTATTATTTTTTTTTTAATAATACATTTATTTTAGTCAAGTATATCAAGTACAACACAAGTTAGCAAGTGTTAAACTAATCTGTAAACAACCCAAATGTAATCGATCAATTAATGTGCCAACACAACCTTTTTTATATAAAAGCTTTTCTAAATTGAACATTGATAATACTAATAACTGTTAAAGCATCAACAATATATGATAACTGATTAAAAGTGCAAGGATAGGGGAACCTGCGGGAACAGGTCATTTAATCAAATACTAGGTGGAATGAAGTTTTGTGTGTACATATGTATCCTTTGCCGTTTCATTAAAAGTTGGTTAAAAATGGTTCTTGGCTTCAGCTGATGTTTAATTAGCCTGATTCAAATCTATTTAGCACCAAAAAATTCTCCCTGTTTTTTTTCCATTATGGTATTTTTGTGCTTTTAGAGGGCTGTGGTACTTTTATGTAAATCACGTTTTTTTTATTTCGACCTGGACAAAAAAAAAAAAAGATACCTCAGAAAATGTAATAACAGACTCTGAAGGGCATAATTGTACATATAATTTTGTAGCAATTACTGAGTCATTTTGAATGATTCAATCCTTATGATGGCATTTATGAACAGTTCTCCAT